GGGAAACGTGTGCCAGCACCTCATCACTCTGTCAGTAAAAAAATTCCCCCTGGCATCTAATCTAAATCTCCCTTGTGTTAGTCCGATCACTATCTACCCATGTAAAAAGTTTATTTCCCTCATGTTTATAAACTCCATTTAAATATTGGAAGACTGCAGTGAGATCTCTCCGGAGCCTTCTCTTCCACAGACTGATGGAGCCCTGTTCCTTCAGCCTGTCTTTATAGGAGGCGTACTCATCTCTTGGATCAACTTCATGGCCCTCCTCTGGACCCTCTCCAAAAGCTCCATGTCATGCCTGTTTTGGAGGCCCCAGACCTGGATGCAGTACTTTTTGCAGTATGTAGATCTGTGAAAACTATTTTCAAGGATGAAGTACAGAAAGAATAAAAGATCAAAAATCCCTGATGTACACTTCAAGAGCTCACTAAGAATGGCAACCACTGTCATTGAATCAGACTGATGAATTATTTGCACAAAAACAAGGTGAAATATCCCACTAGTTTTGTGTTGTTGTTTCTCCTTTTTTGTGTTTTAATAAAAATAAAAGAAGTTTTGTTGCTTATACACTAACCGTATTGTATATTTTATATGTTACCTAAGATAACATCTCTTCATTCAGTGTAGCCCAGGCAAGCCAGTAGGTTGGAAACCCTCTGACATAAGGAGATTATCTTATCCAGAACCACTCGCAATAAAATGTCACAAAACAAAAATTAAATCACGTACTAAATTTTCAACCATCTTGCAATAGTCCAGCTATTATTTTCCTACATTCTGCTGACAGTGACTCCAGATATTCTCTTTAGTGGTAACATTTCCAACAAATTGATATTAATATTCACTAGATTTTCATTACCCACTGCTCCACGTCCAGGTGGGGGCTGGTGAGGGGGGACCAGTGCTCTTCGACATATTTATCAGTGACATAGACAGAGGGACTGAATGTACCCTCATCAATTTTGCTGACAACACCAAGCTGAGCAGTGCAGTTGGTACAACGGAAGGAAGGTATGTCATCCAGAGGGATGTGAACAAGCTTAAAAAGTGGGACCACGAGAACCTAATGAGGTTCAGCAAGGCCAAATGTGAGGTGCTGCACTTAGGTCAGAAAAATCCCAGATGTGTGTACAGACTGGGAGAAGAACCTACAGAGAGCAGCCGTGTGTATGTAGATGGACTTGGGGATACTGTTGGACGAAAAGCTGAACATGATCTGTGCACTTGCAGCCTGGAAGGCCAACAGAACCCTGGGCTGCAACAAAAGAGGTGTGGCCATCATGGAGATGAAGATGATTTTTCCCCTCTATTTTCCCTTTGTGGGGCCCCACCTGCAGTACTGCATCCAGGCCTGTGTGCCCCAGCAGAAGGAAGATGTGGAACTGTTGGAACAGGATCTACAGGAGAGCTGGGAAGATGACTGGAGAGCTGGAGCACCTCTCCTGTGAAAAAAGGCTCAGGGAGCTGGGCTTGTTCAGCCTGGAAAAGAGAAGGCTCTGGGGAGACCTCATTGTGGCATTTAAGTACTCAAAGGGAGTTTACAACAAGAGAGAGACAAACTTTTCAAGTTGTTTGACAGTTATAGGACAAGAAGGAATTGTTTTAATCTGCAAGAGGGGAGGTTTCAATTAGATGTTTTGAGGAAATTTTTTAGAGGGTGATGAGGCACAGGCAGAGGTTGCCTGGAGGCGTTCAAGGCCAGTTAGATGAGGCTCTGTGCAACCTGAACTGGTGGGTGGCAGCACTGTCCATGGCAGGGGATTGGATCTGGGTGGTTCTTGAAGTCCCTTTCAACCCAAGCCATTCTGTGATTTTATAGTTAGGATGGACAAAAAAAAAGAAGAGACATCATATCCTCTCTCTGTAATCTTTTGGAAAACCTTGGGTGGTTTTTGTCGTTGTTGTTGTTTTTGTGATTTTTTGGGGAGTTGTTTTTCTGTTGTTTGTTTTGGTTCTGTTTTGTTTTTGTTTTCTCATAGGCTTTTCTATAACCGCCTGCTTCTGTATCAGAGAAAAGCAAAACCGTTGACTTGAAACAGCTTTGTCGGTTGTGCCTGGAGCTCGCCAGTAGCTGCTGTAGATCAGTAGTGCCATCTAGAGGGATGCAACGAGGTTGCAGGGAGTAGAAGGGTCCGCGCTTGCCCGCTCTGCGACTGCAAAGGGCCGCTCCAGCAGGAGCCGCAGACGCTAGCCGCTTACAGACAGCGTCCTCGGTGTTCCACCTCCGTCCTGTGGCCAGGCCAACTTTCTTCACCAGCTACTTTGGAGTGTGCAGCAGGCATTCTTCTTACTCTAAGTTTCAAAGACTAGGAAAATTAGCATCCCCATAGCCACTTATTTTTTGGTGGGTGGCAGCTGTGGAGGAACTGAGCTTTATTATGGCTATGTTGTCGTTTTAAACTTTTGTTTTTATTTTGTGAACTTTTTCTAAACAAACAGTGAGTGGGAAAATGAGTTTCCAACGTTGTTAGAATTCTTCTAAAAGATAGCAAGATTTCTGGGGAAAACAATGGTTCACAAATCCATCACTGTCACTCATGAATATAAACATAGACAACACTTATTTTATTTTATTTGAAATATAAAACATATTTTTGAGACATACTGGTATTCAAATTGTAACTACTTTTGAAATTTAAGTCCTAAACTTCAGCAAAGCCTTTGGCACTGTCTCCCACAGTATTCTCCTGGAAAAGATGGCAGCCTGTGGCTTGAACAGATATGCTCTTTGCTGGGTAAAGAAATGGCTGCATGACCAGATCCAGAGGGTGGCAGTGAGCAGAGTTAAATCTCGCCAGTGAACAGTCACAAGTGGTGCTCCCCAGAGGTCAGAACTGGGGCCTGTCCTGTTTAATGTCTTTATTGGTGACCGGGATGAGGGCACTGAGTGCACCCTCAGTAAGTCTGCAGATGACACCAAGTTGGCTGGAAGTGTCGATCTGCCTGGGGGTAGCGAGGCCCTACAGAGGGATCTGGACAGGCTGGATAGCTGGGCTGATGCCAATGGGATGAGCTTCAACAAGGCCAAATGCCGGGTCCTGCACTTCAGCCACAACAACCCCAGGCAATGCTGCAGGCTTGGGGCAGAGAGGCTGTGTGGAGAAAAAAGAGCTGGGGGTGCTGCTCAGTGCTCAGCAATGTGCCCAGGTGGCCAAGAAGGCCAATAGTATCCTGGCTTCTATCAGAAAAAGTGTTGCCAGCAGGAGCAGGGAAGTGATTGTTCTCCTGTACTCAGCTCTGGTGAGGCCGTACCTTGAGTGCTGTGTCCAGTTTTGGGCCCTTCACTGTAAGAAAGACATTGAGGCTCAGGAGCGTGTTCAGAGAAGGACAACAAAGCTGATGAGGGGTCTGGAGCATAAGTCTTATGAAAAGCATCTGATAGAGCTGAAATTGTTTATTCTGGAGAAGAGGAGGCTTACGGGTGACCTTATCACTCTCTACAAGTACCGGAGGAGAGGTTGTGATGTGGTGGCAGGCGGTCTCTTCTCCCATGTAACTAGCTGTGAGAGATTATTACTTTTGCACCTTTGTCTCAAAGCTTGCTGAGGAACACAGGTAGACAAGTCCAAGAAAGTTCTGGTCAAAGTTGGAGAAATCTTTTGTCTGAAGATTTGGAGGCCAGAGGCAAGGAGAGAGAGAGAGAGGGGTAGCAAATTAATGTCTGGGAAGCAGTCTTTTGTGTCTTTGAGTCTTTTGGGCTTATCTTGAGGGATATGGCCATCTCAGGGGTGCTGCATGTGTCTCTTACCGAAGTATGCAGGAATGCCACGTTGGCAGAAGAAGAAAGATAGAAAAGGGACCTACAACCAAGAGGCACTTGTGAACTATGTACTGACGGACATAGTTTAGTGGGAAATATTGGCGCTAGGTGGATGGTTGAACTGGGTGATCTCAGAGGTCTTTTCCAACCTTGGTGGTTATACAATTCTATGAAACTTATGTGCATTATTACACTTCTAAGCTCACCAAAGTCTAGAGTTTACATAGTAATTGTTCTGGGTGAAATCTTAAAAAACTAGATCTAAACAAAATCTACAGCTCTTCCATGCAATAATCATTTGGCATATGGCTTTTTAACTCATTCCATGGTTTATCTCTCTGCATCTGAGCTGTTTATATGCAAAGCACACACTGTTCACATTTTCCACAGATGTATCACAGAGTTGGAAGGGATTCACAAGGATCACCAAGTTCAACTCCTGGCTCCACAGAGGTCCATCCAAAATTCAAACCCTATTTCTGAGACCATTACCTAAACACCGCATGAACTGCAGCAGCTCAAGGCCATGCCCACTGCTCCACGCAGCCTGTTCCATGCCCACCGCCCTGTGGTGCAGAGCCTTTCCCTAACCCCCAGCCCTGCCCTGGCACAGCTCCACGCCGTTCCCTCGGGCCCTGTCAAACAGAGCAGAGCTCAGCGCTGCCCTCCGCTCTCTGTGAGGAGCTGCAGCTGCCATCAGGCCTCCCCTTGGCTCCTCTGCTCTGGGCCCAACACACCCAGGGCCTTCAGCCACTCCTCATGCACCTTGCCTCCCAGGCCCTTCCCCATCTTTGTAGCCCTTCTTTGGACACACACTAAGAGTTTTGTGTCCTTTCTGTACTGTGGCACCCAAACCCACACCCATTGCTGGAGGATAGGCCTCACAGTGTAGAGCAGAGTGGGACACTGCCCTCCCTGGCACGCAGCTCTGAAATTCCATTGATGCAGCTGCACAAACTTCCAATTTCCACTGTCTCCTAGGCAGCACCTTTAAAAACATTTAATTAAGTTATTCTACATGAATTTAACCAAAGTCCTTTTGGTTAAGGAGAATTGTGTTTTCACATTATCTTAACCTTTTAAATTGATAATGAATAAGAATCTGTTAATTAAATAATATTGTTCAATAATGTTGTTTTCATTCATGGTTAACATTACAATGACAGCTTGTTACCTGTTACAGCAACACGGCCATAAACATTTGTGTATGTGCAGGTATGGGAGAGAGCATAATATAAAAGGAAAGAAGAATAGAAATGCCATTTTTAAAAAAATAATTTATTCTTTAGAAAGTAGAAGTAAATCTGACAGAAACAAACATTTGTAATATCTAACACAGAATCAGGATGCTGCATTCAAGTAGACAGATCACTACAGAATTTAGGGAAGTTCTCATGCACTCAATGTGTGGAAATTTTTCTCCAGTTATTCATGTTTTGCATCCTACTTCTGAGGACAAAGTACATATACTCTATCAAAGCAGAGTTAGTTGCAGAATTAGCATAGTATGGCTTCCCGTGCATTTTCATTCCAAACATGCCCTGATACAAAGTCAGGGAAAAAGTCCAGAAAATTGAGTTAATACAGGATAAATATGCAAGAAAAATAAGACAACATTCCCCATCTCTATACTACTTCATTAAGAGAGAGAGAGAGAGAGAGAGAATTCCTAAATGGAATGTTCCTGAAATAGCTGTGTTAAGCACAAACACATACCAGATAAAGGTATTTATAGCTGTACTTACACCATGTAGCCATTTATCTATCTAGGCACTAAGAAAAAGTTTTTCAAGATGACTGCATTTCTATGGAGAAAGGTAAAGAAAATAAACTACAAACAAAACAGAACAAATACAGTCATAGGCAAAAAAAAAAAAAGCTAAAGGAAGTCTCTGAACATTCATTTAACAATTAAAAATTGTTTAAAAGGTGGAAGACCAGGAGCAGAACTATCTCAAAAGACAACAATACAAAAAAAACACCATTCCAGATCTGAAGTGCTGTTTCCCTCTTTACAAAAATATTTGGAACTGTGTAGAAAATTTCAAGTCAAATATTTCACATCTGCAAATGGCAACAAATATTTTAGTAATTGACAGGTCCTTGAGCACTGGTCCTTGAGCACAAAGATTAATCATTCCATTTAATATTCATTCATGGCAACATGTATGTCAGTTTACACTAATTTATCTGCAGCAGAAAGTTGAAGATGCTTAGTGTTTTGTGGTGGTTGACAAATAAGATGACAGACAAGACACATGTGATTGACACAAGGGATTTTGCCTGTCCATTTCCACAAATTCTGATAATTCTCCCCCAAGCACTATTTCTTATCCCAGAGTTGCTTCAAGGGAAGGAAAAAAAAGGAGAGAAATGTATTATTCTGAAAAATATACTATTTATCTGTTAACCTACAAAAGATGAGCCAAGAGCAAGATACAATGTAGTGTATTTTCTTTGGTCAGACAACTGTCACTGCTGAGCTCTCTCTGAATTTATATTAACTAAATAAAATCACTAAATGTGTGACGTGTGCAATGCAACTACACTGATAAATTAACCTAGTGTTTGGTATTTTTACAGAAAAGATTAGATTATCAGATATTCTTAGGAAAGACTGCACACTGAAGGCCACAGATTAAAAGAAGAAACTAACACACACACACACACACACACACACACACACACACACACACACCAACCGAGATACCTTTAAGAAGTCAATTCTTCATCAATTCTTCATCAGCTGCAGGAACCCACAAAACCTTACTTGTTCTTCTAATTAACAATGTTAATTATTTATGTACACTGAAATATATGCTAGATTTTCTTTTAAATCTCCTTTCTGATATTTCTGAGTCAGGATGAGATTCCCATTTCATGTGAATTCTAAAACACAGAAGTCTCTATACAGTAAAACAAAGTTCAACTATTGTGCATTTTTACAATCCGCTTCCTCCAAGAGCCATTCAATTCCACTTAGCAATCCGCTTAAAGTTGCAGCTACAGTGTCCTGCACCTGTAAAAATAATATTTTAAAAATCTTATATATTACAGTTAACAGGCAATGTAATTATATTTTAGCGGCACTCCATGTTTATCTTTAGAGTCAGAAATCTATCAAATTTATATTTTTACCACTCACTTCCAGACCCCTTAGAACAAGTTTCCTGAAAGCAAGATGCAAAGTGAAAACTTTTTTTTTTTACAGAATTAATTATGAGATTCATTAGAAAAGGCCTGCATTCTTGATATTCTGGTGAATTTAATTTTAATTACTTCAATCTTTACAAAACTTTACAGATGAGAAGCTACTTGAAAATTCCTCTAAAAATGTCAACACCTTTACAATTCAAGATGTATTATTTCTTTTCAGATTTTGTAATGCATTATAAAGTGCCTATTACAAATGTTACACTGAAAAGAAAAAGTTTCTAAAGATTCTTCTTGAAAGCAAAGGAAATGAATTGGGATTTCTTTTCCTGGTTCTTTGGCTACACAACATTATCAAAAACAAATTACATGTACTGAGCCATAGTGATAAATACTGCACTTGGCAAGCATGAAAGAATGGGTCCAGCACTTCAGATAAAAAAAAAACAAAAACACAAGTATATTGATTTGTCAAGAACTCAAGGTTCAACAGAAGGACCAGTTCTGTTCAACATTTTTATCAGTGATTTAGATGCAGAAGTGAAATACATTCTCAGTGAGTTTGCTGTAATGCTTTGACTCCCTGGAGGCCTTGAACCTCCAGACTGATAATCAAGAGTGTGAAGTTCAACAAAAGAAATGCAGGGAATTACTCTTGGGAGAGAGCAATGCCAGACATAGACACACATGGGAGTGGCTGGAAAGCGGGTCAGCAGGAAGGGATCTGGGTGTTTTAGTGACAGCAACTCAGCATGAGCCAGCAGAGTACCTGGACAGCCAAATGGGCAAATCACATTGTTGAGGACACTGAACAGCACAGCCAGTTAGAAGTGATTCTCCTGCTTCAGTGTTGGTGTGGCCTCACCTTGAATATTGTGTGCAGTTGAACTCCACAATAAAGAAAGGATGTTAAGGTACTTCATTATGACAAGGCTGAAAGGTATGTCCTGTGAGAAATTGCTGAAGACACCTGGATTGTCAAGACTGGAGAAGAGGAGGCTGAGAGGTGACCTCATTGTTGTCTATAACTTCCGGAGGAGGGAAGTGGAGAGAGAGGTGTTGGACTCTGCTTCTGGGGTGATAGGATAGAAAGGGCACAGATCTGTGCCAGATGAGGTTGACTGGACGTTAGGGAACATTTATTCACTATGAGAGTGGTCAGGCCTCTGGGAGGGGTGCCTGATGCCCTGTGCCTATCAGTGTTTAAGAGGCATTTGGATAATGCCCTCACTAATATATTTTAACCATTGGTGAGTCCTGAAGAGATCAGACGGTTGAACTAGATGGTCTCTAAAGATTCCTTTCAACTAAACCGACCAACCAAACTAGACTAAACTTATATTCTCTCAATATATCATGCTAAACAAGTAATAATTAAGAGTCTCATGAAAAATGTCAGAAAAATCTACCTTATAGTTAAGGTTTTGGGTTGTGATTCAGGAAATTTAAATTTAAATTAACTGAATCTTCCTTAATTCCTTCAAGACCAGCACTTCACACTTCTTTCCCTTTTGGCTCCGTCTGAAGCTTCTTGTGTGGACACCTGGCCAAACCACCTTTATGGTCAGCTTGGCTAACGTTTATCTTACGGGACCAGATGCACTAAATTCTTCATTTAGGTGGAGCGCTTATATATTATTGTTGAAAGCTGTACACTTTCTTATATAAGTACAGTCCAGGAACTGTAATAATCTTATATTACATTTTAACCATCTAGAAACAGAAGATAAAGATTTAAAAGCAAGTACCATCCAGGGTCGAGGTAGCAGGTTTAGTTGCAGCTGATGTGCCATATAAACACAAGGAATCCTTTCTACACCAAAATGAGAGACACAAGACAGAACTAGCAGAGGTCTGTTAGGAGGTCCAAGGGCTGGATCAATCATAGCCAAAATATGAGCCAGTTCCTCCTCACGATCATGCTCTAGGAAACAATTTTTAATAAATACATAAGTATTAAATACATGTAAACCTCAAAGAGAACATTCATACATACTAATTTTCAATTGTTTTTAATTTTATTTATGTATTTTTTCAAGTATATAAAATATAATTTTTAGATATATAAAATATAATTTTTAGATATGTATTAATTTTCAGATATATAAGGTCTCAGAGTTGAAAAAACAGGACTGAAAGAAAGAAAGGCAAATTATCTAGTTCTGCTACTCTCAAGGCTAGATCATCTGTCTTTATATCATACTTAGCTGTTATTTAAAGAGCTCTATAAATTACAAACGCAGCTTAATCAAGTCCTTAACATCACAGTGTTTTCCAGGTACCCCGCAGAGTCCAAGACTATAACAAGAGAGAAATACTGACACACTATACAGTCTGCAGCCTCAGTATACCTCTTATTTCCTGAATTAACCCTTTTCATCCATTTAAAGCTGATGTACATAAAGACAATTAACATTATACTTGTTTGGACTCTTATATTATATGACGGTCCTGATCTGGGTTAATTGCATCTTACACTGCAGTCTTTCTGGTGAAGGCTCTGTTTCCAGGCTGTTCCACCACTGCTATAATTCCATGTTTTCCTCCTTTCTAACCTCCAAGGTTTTTTGTTTTATTTCTGTTTAGTTTATATGTGTGTATGTGTGTATATATATACATTATTTTTAAAAATTCAAATCATTTACCAGATCTAGCCTAAATAACAGCCTTACCAGTGTTACTCATAACCAAATCCAGGGGACATAACCCCTCACAGGAAAATAATGGAAAGTATTTAGGATAGGTAACCTCTGAGTAAGACCTGAAGAAACAGCACTAACAAAGTGAAGCAATCCGAACATGGATTTTCATGTATTTCATTCTTTTCACAAATCTTTACGACATTCCAACCATCCATAAAATACTATTCACAAAACATGCATTAAAAAAAAGAGAGAAATTCCTTACTTTTATGAGCTTCTGCATTAGCAACATAAATGAATCCATCAACTACTTCGCACACCTTTTTAACTTGAGCTATTACATTGTACTGCACAGCTTGCTGATTCCCTACAATGCTGTTCTCTTGGTAGAACATCTTATTCACAACAGCAGCTTGCTCTTCTCTCGCTCTCTTTCTTTCCACACTGCAAGATATTAAAATATTTCAGTAGTCAGGTTAATTAAGTAGAGAATGCAAAAACAAAATCTAGGCAGCATAGTAAAATGGAAGGAAAGTATTCTAAGCCACCAGAAATTTTCATTCCCCACCCATTTTTTCTACTGCATGTTTATAGATGATAAGCAATTTGTGAGATGCATATGAAGATATACCTGAAAACAAAAACTAGCATATGTTTATCATCTTCTAAGGTATCAAGAGGGACAGGAGGACCTGTTATGCATAACAAATATGCATGATAAATATATAAAATTAGGAAAATAAAGTTTATTACTTCCATATAAAAATTTAGCAGTTGAAGAAGGGAAGAGAAAGAGTGAAGATATGTATTTAAGTTTCAGTTTATAAGGAGTCACATTAAAAAAACAAAACAAACAAGAGAAGTATAAAATAACTGAGAAATTATACTTTTTTATGGAGAAGTAATCTTACCTCGTGGTTGAGTACAACGTCACAATGTTGAATTTTTGATTATTATTCATCTGAAAACTGACTCCTGATCCAATTCCTACAGGAAAAAAAAAAAAAAAAAAAAAAAGAGCATAAAAGGTTGCAAACACTTTGTCATTGAATACAATTAAGTTCCAGGTTGAAAAATCCAGTGGTACAGTAAAATGGATACATACAAAAATGCTGCCGCTAGGGGCTAGTGTATGATGAAATTTTACACCTGCTCTAAATTGGCCAAACAGACAGTTAATTTAACTAAAATAAGCAGCATTAGTTGAAAACAAGAAGGTATTTCCATACATTTAACATTTAGGGTAGAACCTAGAAAGCTAAGAGAGGAGTTAGATTTGTGTCTGTCACCTTAAACTAGCACAGAAAAGTTTCTGGACTATTTACAACAAATTGAATTGAAAAGGGGAGAAAAAAGACAAGAAGCTCTATTTTCACACCGTATTTTCACTCCTCTTACAGTGATAATGTAATTATTTCAACTGTGCTACATTTTAATAAAGGAAATAAAGGTTTTGTGAGGTCTGGATGTGAAATTACAGACGTTAAAAACAAAGTTTTTAAACTTTGACAAAGTTCCTTTTCATGGTCCTACAACTATGAAGTTCACACTGTTTGACACTGCATGACTGAATCAGATACGTGATCAGTCTTGAATTTCTGCATAAAAAACACAGGCATAATTTTTAACCACTTAACTGCAAGCAAGATCTAAAGGAAAATTTCTATTACCACAGCAATTCTGACATGAAATTTAGGATCAAAATAGAAAAAAATAACAAAATCTTGATACCTTTGAATTCTTCTTTAATTAAATCATTAAATTCACTGTAGCAACAATCTTATTTCAATGTTTACTGTATTTATCCTTTTGAATAAATAAACGCAGAGAGGTTTTTTGTTTGTTTTGTTTTTAACCAGTATGCTTTTGATTCTCAAGTGGAGCATTAAAAAAAAATCTTTTTCCATTTCTCCCCTAATGTTTTTTGTTATATCTGTTCATAAAACTAAAATTAATACAAACAATAGCCATCACTATCATTACCATGAATTCGTCTTTGAGGTAAGCCAGCCACTAGCAGGATTTCTGGGCATGTCATCATCTTTCGTACTAACGAGTCATCCAGCTCTTCCAAACCCGGCCCAAACATAGCAAAGCGAGGTTCTGACTGAGTGACCAGTGATTGCAAAAAGGAAGTGACAGCACCATACCGAGGGCGGCTTGATTTCAAACTTCTTCTGGTCTGGGGACAGCTTTTTTTATATCTGTGTTAAAACAGATGCAACTAGAAATTAACACAAAATATAAAAGTGGTATTAATCAATAAACACTTATTTAGGTCCCATGCTTCTGATGCTTTGTTACTGCTATAACTCAAGCAAGGGGTGAAAATGCACTGGTGAAAGTTCCAAACTGATGATTTCAGCGCCATAAAGCAGGCAAAAGCTTCAGTTTATCCAAATTCCAAACACTGACTTTTTAAACCTTTAATATAAATCTTATTGCTTATTTCAAAAAAAAAAAAAAAAAGAAAAAAAGAAAGAAAAAAAAAGTAAAATTAGAAACTCCAACACTGCGCACACAGCACTATTAGGATAAGAGGTTGCACGGGGGCCTGGGCAGCCTCATCTAGTGGGTGGCAACCCTGCCCACTGTAGGGAGATGGAGCTAGATGGTCCTAAAGGTCCCTTCTAATCCAACCCATTCTGTGACACAATGGCAACCACTGACAGATGGTTTCAAATATATGATGTTCTTAAATATTCAGACCTAAGGACATTTAAATCTTATGTTCAGAATCAGAAATACGTTTTACTTCACATTCAGTGTACCTCTTTCCCAGCTGAAAAGTGATGATGTAGGGCACAAAGACTGTAGAGTCCTAGTGCACTTCTTCACGAAGTAAGTTTCATAAAATCATCTTGGGAGAATGCAACTACAAGTGAAAAACTTTTACTGCAAAGTAACAGAGGGCACTGAAGTTTAAAAAAACCACAACTGAATAATCTGCTCGTCACAGAGTTTTTGTTCAGTCATCCAAACACACTACAGAGGTTTCTGTGATTTTAAACTATACTACTTCTAATCACAGATTTCATCTTCTAGCCAGTAATCAGCAGAACTAAAACATACTACTTGTCATTCTGTACACAATCAATATTTACTTTTTTTTTTTTTTTCCCTCCTAAGTCTTGAAAATAAAATACAAAAAGCATGACAATCTAGAATGGCTTGAATTAGAAGAGACCTCAAGGACCAACCAGTTCCAACCCTGCCATCATAGGAAGGATCACCATCAACTAGATCAGGTTGCTCAGAGCCCTACCTAACCTGGCCTTGAACACCTCCAGGGATGGGACATCCGCAGTTTCTCTGTTCAAACAGTGCCTATGCCTCACCACTCTCTACTGTAATCCTCCCCTCTTGTAAGCTCTCTTCAAGTACTGCCACAATGAGATCTTCCCAGAGCCTTCTCTTTTCCAGGCTGAACAAGCTCAGCTTCCTGAGCCTTTTATCACAGAAGAGGTGCTCCTGCTCTCCAGTCATCTTCCCAGCTCTCCTGTGGATCCTGTCCAACAGTTAGACATCTTTCTTCTGCTGGGGCCCCCAGGCCTGGATGCAATATTGCAAGTGGGGCCTTACAAGGGGAGAACAGAGGGGGACAATCATCTCCCTCTCCCCTCTGACCACATCTCTTCTATTGCAGCGCAGGATTCTGTTGGCCTACTGGGCCACAAGTGCACAGTGCTGCCTTGTATTCAGCTTTCCATTCACCAGAACCCAAAGACCTTGTCCACAGGGGTGCTCTCAATGAGTTCCATTCCCAGCTTGTGGAGAGACATATATCTAGGACTGCCCTAACCAAAACACAGTACAGTTGACTTTCATTAGGTTCTCATGGTCCCACTTTTCAAGCTTGTTCAAGGCCCTTTGGATAGCATCCCCTCCTTCCGACCATATCAACTGCACCATTCAGCTTGGTGTCGCCATCAAACTTTCTAAGAGTACACTCAGTCCCACTGTCTATGTCACTGATAAAGCTGTTGAATAGCACTGGTCCCAAGATGGACCCATGGGGGATAGCACTTGTGATCAGCCGTTATAGTGATGACGACAACACCCTGGCTGTGACCTTCCAAACAATTATCCACAGAATAGTCAGATCTCTGGCTTGGAGAGATCCATCTCTCTCTAATTCAGAGATAAGGAATAATCATTCATTTTGCTGTATTTTAAATACTTTTTAGTACTTTTATTAAAACAAGAAATTAATTTTCATTGTACTTAAGAACATTTTCATCAACATTACCAGGATTTGCAGCTTCTCCTGTTTTCCTGTGGCATAGGTGGTACAGTTTACAAAAACCTCTGCTTTCTCAAAGCATCTTACATTCCTGCTGAATTCCAAACTGGCCAAACTGCCATACAACAGAAAATCAGATTTCCAAAACAGGCAATGGGTTTAAGAACCATCAACGTTTATTCAGCATCATCTTACCACACAATCTTTCTACCATAAATATAAAACCTGTCTGTGGGCTGCTGTGCAGGAATTGTAAATTGAATCAGAGAACAGAGAAATACTTACGCTGCCATATAGTCATACAGGGCTTCATCGCTGACTTGTGAAAAGGCGTTATTAAAAATTTCTGCGGCTGGGAGAGATTTCCAATCAACAGATGTCCAAATCGGGAGATCCCGCAGGAGAAAATTCCTCCACAGCAGGGGGTCCTGCACAGCCACCCTCCAGTAACAACTCGTGCACCCTAAGCGGCACAGGTCTTGGGGTGAGAGGAAGGACATGATGTACAGTTGCACGTCGATCTGCAAACAACCATAGCAGGGGGTTAGCGCTCCGGGAGCCCAACAAACCGAGGGGCGCAGAGGGAGAGTAGGACACGGGTGCCGCGCATCACGGTGCGTTATCCCTGCTGCCCGATGCAGAAGGCCTAGGGACCGCGGAGTCCTTCCCTTGCTGTAGTGAGGAATTTGGGTTATTCACCGCACACCGCGTCCTTACGCGGTCCCGCGCAGTGCCGGAGAAGAAGGAGGGTCTCGCTCACCGGCAGCGCCTGCAGGGCGCTCACTTCCTCCGCCGCCTCCTCGGCGCCGTCTGCGGAGCCCGGCTCGGCGGCCGCCGCGCCCCGCTCCCGGCTGCCCCACGCCCAGCGCTCCCGCAGCCCGCGCAGGCGGCCGCGCAGCGCCGCCTCCAGCCCGCCGCGCTCCGCCGTGCCGCCAGCCGCCATACCGCCGCGCTCTGCTGCCAGCCGCACCGCGGCCGGAGGCGGCGCCCGGCCCGGCCCGGCCCGCCCGGGGCACGGAGGAGGACACGCCCCCGCGGCCAGCGTGGAGTTTGCGCCGTCAGCAGCGCCCGTGTGGAACGTCACCCGCGATTCGGTGGAGCTCTTGAACGGTCATGCGTTCCAGAAGCACTACCGCACAGCACTTTGGACCGCCGTTCCGCGCGTTCTTTGAACTCATGCTTTAATGCAACTGAGCATACATTTTGTAAGAGCAGGCAGGCTCGAGGCACACCAGGTCTCAGCCTGGTGCAGACAGTCATCCTAGGAGTGGTCATCACACAGCGAGCAGCTTCCAACAGAGTAACAGCAACAAATCTAGCTGAGGTAACACAGCATCTGTTTTGCACTTGTTGTGTTCCATCCTTGGTCTTTTAAAGGTCCCTCACACACAGCAATGTACTTTCTTAACATGGTTTTACCCAGCTCTTGGAAATCCACCAGCGCACCCTGTGATCTGCAGCCCAGCTCACTGCCAGACACTGAGTCCATCATCTTGAGGTTCTCCTGCTTTCCCTCTCTACAGTATTTCAGTCCCCAGTAGCACATTTCTCCACTGTACATCATGGCCAGTAAGTGGGTGTCACTAAATATACCTGCGAAACACAATTTAGATCAGGTATTTTATTCTTCCCTGTTGAACAAATATACAGTTTGTCACTTTTTTCTTAGCAATGTAGTAAACAATGTTGACAGAGGCAACATAAGCCTATGTTGAGAGGTAGACTAAAGCACACATTTCTACAATTGTATGACTGAAGCTCCCCAGAAGAGAATGTGGATCAAGGTCTTCCTCATTACTTCACCCACTTTGCCCTTTCATAATATTTAAATATTTAAGATGGGCATATAAACATTCTGCTAATTGTGTTTGCCTGTTTATCCTAGAGAAGTTCCATATTTCTTTAAATGCTGGTATGGTGATGTATATTCATATCAGAGTACCTACATGCCTTCTGGCAAGTCCAACAAGATGCTATTTGAGCATTAACATTTGAACATTTTAAGCAGCAGCAGCAGCACTACTGTCTACTTCTCTCTCATATGTCTTTTTTTTGTTTGTTTGTTTGTTTGCTGCTTCTGTTCTAAAAAGTGACAGTCTTTGAATGCAAATGAAATTAAAAAAAAACACAAAGATTTCATAAAGTGGAGCAGTTACTGGTGTGTGCTGTACTTTTTTTTTTTTTTTTTTTTACCTTCACTGAGTAGTCTAGCTGTGTCTTTATCTTGAAGCGAGACATCTCCATCTAAATGAAGAGGGCATCTAAAGCTAAGCATCTTCATCAGGTAATGAACTCCATCATTAAGACACTGAATACAGTTTAAAAGAAAAGGAAAAAAAAAAATTCTCATTAATTTGATGACAGAAATACTTCCAGGTATGAATTTCCCCAGTCTTCTTTAAAAGGGGGAAGGGGGGGGGGGGGAGACAAGTTTTAAAAGAGAAAAGTCATGCTTTCAACTGTACTTACGTACACTCATACCCTCAGAGCACTTCACAAAATCTCCTTTACCTTTTTAAATAAAGCAACGTTTCCTCTCATCCATTCGCTCCTTTCTTTTGCTGTATGGCAATACATGTAAAGCAGGGCTCCTTTTCTCCAGTAAAGACATTCTACCAAATCTGTACTAAGGATGTTGACGGGCTGAAATAAAATCCAGCAAACTGTGATAAGCCAAAAAATAAGCCATTTGAGCTATCACATACAAGCATGCATACATATTAAACTTCCATCTTTAAAGGCTGTGCTTAACAACGGTGCTCAGTCATATGTCCAGTACTTTGCATTTATGTTGTCAGAAGTGTCTGGAATCAGGAAACGTTAATAAGGAAAATTCTGGACACACAAGTTACTTGAAAATTATTTTCAGGAATCATTATTTAAATACAGCTAAAATGTATTTGTGTTGGGCAATATTTAAGATTGTTTGGGAAAAAAAAAATACAAGTGCTACTACCCCAAATTAGATTTTTTTTTTTTAATTTTTAAGTAATAAATAGTTAATTCTCTGGATGAATAATGTTAGTACTCACTTCTTCATTTATGCTGCATTCCCTCACTAAGTCTTCTGGGTCTGAAAGAATACAGATAAGTTCTTTAACTTTTTGCAACGAAGATTCTCCTGCAAAATCTTCATCCACAAGCTGGCTTTCCTCAAAATAGGTAATGTCTAAGACAGCCTACGGAAGCAAGAAGATATACAATGTGAAAATACCACCAGCAAAATAATCAGATGGTGGCGTGCAGTAACAAGTGCATGCTTGTTAGAGTTAATAAAGGATTACAATTTTAAAGTTTAATTTTAAAAAGTAACAAGTTGAAAGTACCGTTGTTTACAGTTGATGTAACTCTTCATGTCCTACAGTAACAGAATACTCAGTGTCAACTCTTAATTCATCTCCCACCCAAATAAAAGCAGGCCTGTCTTTTATTTGTGTTATGTGTTACCACACACACTCAGTGACACAGATCAGTTCCTGCTGTACTCTACCCTTCTTCCACACACCAAAAGCAGGGGTTAACGTGCTTTGTATGCACTACCTGTGTGTAAAGCTGTAGAATCGTGGAATGATGTGCTTTCTCTTTCCCTTCTTTACAGAGGTCCTTTAATTTCTCCAGAGCAGCAGAGCCCTTTGCTAAGAAGACACCTGAAGAAGAACACAGTGCTCCCTTAGCAGGGTCAGCCCTCGCGATGCGCGCAGCGGCGGATAACGCCGCAGCCCTCACACAGGCGCTGCGCTGCCCGCCCTGCCCTCACCGACCGGAGGGCCTCGCGGCCAGCCACACACCGCACGGGCACAGCGGCGGGCTTCAGCCTCACCACCCGCTCCACAGAGCAGACTCAGCGTTCCGCGGACCGGCGCTCTCGCCCCGGGCCCTGACTCTTTATTGGCGGGAGGACGTGCGGCGCCCTCAGCGGCTCGGGAAATGGCCTCCCTCTCCACTGCCTACGGCCGCCCCTCACCATCGCCGCCCGCTCCCTTCGGCGCCGCCAGCCGCCGGCCCAGCGCCTCCAGCCGCGGCCCCAGTGCGGACATCGCGCTCTCCGCCTCGGCCATCCCCCGCCGCCCGTGCACGTCACCGCGCTCGGCACCGCGAGACGCTGAGCCTACGGGGCGCCGCCATAAGCGCAGCGGCAGCGCCGTGCGCACGCGCAGCAGCTCCGGCGGACCGCGCCTTCTCTCGGGCGCTGTGAGGGACGGAGCCGCGGGGCGGCGCTGCGCCTTTCCCGCCGTTCCGTACGTTATGGCGGTGCGCTGTGCTGGGGCTGTGGAGGTGTCCTTCTTCCCGCCTGGCAATCTCCTTCCAAGCTGCGTGGTGCTCGTGCTGATAGTTCTTATCTCCCGCTGCTGTACCTCCGAAGCATGGCTGCGCTTCACTGCGGTGTCTGTAGCAGGTAGAGCACCGCTGTTTGCCTACAGGCAGGGATGCTTTTGCTGTTGCCTGCGTTATATGCCGTACCGAAGTGCTGTCAAACAGACCGAACTCAATGCAAAAGTAAAACCAAAAGGCAATAATAATAATAATAAATTAATTTTGAGAAGAAACCTCGTAGTGTTTTTGTGTATCCTGTTATTTACTCCTGCACAGTCCATACCCAAATAGGCATTTTCATCTAAAGAACATCTGCCTTAATACTGAAAGTACGAAGGTAAGTAACTGCATTAGAGGAGATAGGGCTTCGTGCTTTAAATGAGATGCAGTAGTTTCCACACTGTCAGTTTTGGGACTGAGAAATAGCTGTGTGTTGGTAAGTTACCGTCAGGTTCTTCAGATTGCTTCTTGCTTAGTCCTGCTGTAATTCTCAATTCATCATCCAAATATGACTTACGTTGCTCTCTTATTGACTTTCTTTGTTGACAAATGAGCCTTTAATAGGGAAGGAGATATCATCCAATCTTTCAAGATGTTACTTTTGGAGAAGCAAACAAACAAAACTAAAATGGCTGTGTGTTGACTTAAATGACAAAGGAAGTAGTATTGTTTCTCTGCCTGTATTCAGGCACTGCAGCTTACTTTACAAATGTCTATTCCAAAACTAAAGGTATGTGATTTTGTCCAGAAACTGTTATCCACCGTTTCTTTAAATTTGCCGAAGAATCTGTTTTTGACCTTTCTTACCAGTGGCTTGACTGAAAGAGATGTGTTTCTGTTAATAGCAATCTGGCAAAACAGAAACTGCTACAAACTGAGAGAAGAAAAAAAATGCCTTCTCTAAGCTTCATTCCCTCTGGCAGGAGACCCCCAAGCTGTGTGTTAAACCTCATAGAGCTATGGTGCTAGTATTCCCCATGCACCTTGTAGAGCACTTTGTTTGAAAGACTGATTATTTGAAAGAACAACTATCTCAATTTGCTTTATGTTTTGGTTTTGCCTAGAACTTGGTTTAGATAAAAGCCCTGATGAATGCTGGCAATCTTTGAAGACAATGTCTTGATTTGGGGTTTTCTACTTCTTCCCCTTCTTTTCAGGGTTGGAAAATAGTAAAATTTGGTTTCTCCAAGTTTTCCACAAAGTAAGTTTCATTCTTTCATTTTTTTTTTTTTTTCTCTATGGTCAAGAAAAATATTATTTCTAGGTGGCTCCCAACATAAATCTTATTGAAGCAAAAAGCCTTTTCTCTATAGAGTAGTTTTAGGGAATTGTTATAGTATGGTAAAAGAAGTTTCAAATAAATGTGTTTATGCAGTATTTGTGATAATTTGCTTCCTAGTACTTCCTAATTTGGAAGATGCTGTTACTAATAAGATGTTGGGTATTTAAAAACGGGCTCTGTTCTTACACTGGTGGAAGCACAACAGGAAAAGCTTCACAGTATGTAAACATTTGTGGCTGATGCCACATACAGAAGTAATAATTACAGCTATCATTTTTGTCTCAGAAATTTGTAGTTCCAAAATATTCACTAGGCTCTGTTTTCATTGGGTATGCATTTTTTTCTCATATTTATCTGCTACAGTAGATTCTACTGTTTTTTTTTTTTTTTTTTTTTTTTCCTTCAAAACCAGTACTAATACTCTTTAGTCCTTCTGAAATTTGTTTGTAAATGTGCATGTTTCTAAAGAAACAGACTGGTTGTAACTGGTTACCAGTAAAGAATTATTTTTGTCCTGTGGTTTTCTGGCAATATTGGCTAACTATCCTGATAAATGTAACTGGGAAAGTGGGTTTGCCTGAGATCTTTGAATGTCTGAAATCTAAGAATATATCCAAACAACTATTGTCTTGAATGTCTGTAATCTACGTTGCTTTAGAAGTGGTAACCTCTTTTATTTCTGGAAGCTAAAGAAATTAGAGATGTGGTTTCTCTGTATACTTAGTATTACCCCCACTAATTTTTAAAAAGAGGAACTGGAAAACCCTGTAGTAAGAAAATATTTGTTTTCATTTAAAAGTACAGAAATGTCCAGGTAAAATAATTTGCACAGCAATGAATTTTACATTTTTATCACTACAAGCAGTCTCAAGAACTTTGAAGATTTACAGGCTGTGCAAATTTTCTTGAGCTCTGACACATAAAATGGGTGATAAAGAAGTCATATTGATTTTTGGTGAAAATATGTATACTCTGATTGTATATTTTAATAGTAGCTAGTAATGAATTGAATGGCCTGTTTTGGTCAAAAACTGACTCTTCATCAAAATATATTAGACATTATCCTTACCCAGCAATTCCTAACAGTTTAAAAGTCCATGGTCAAAATTTGGCTTTGAAATGAACAGCAAATACATTAAAACAGATATACTGATTTCAGTTTAGAGCAGCATGCTTTAAGTTCTGTAGTATCTGGGAAAGTTTATAGTGCAGTAGCTTGGAAGTATCTAGGAGTGACAGTAAATTACTGTGATTTCCATGAGTAGTTAGCATTCATGTGCCTCTCCAGAATCAATATATTTCAGATCCATTGAAATAAGTACCCAGTTTTACTACAAATAATAAGTTAGATTTTTGTAATATTTGTAAAATAATTTGTAAGCTGTCTCTGATTAAATATAATAATAATAACTGAGAAAAATATGAGTTGATTTAGTAAAGACTGGATAGGCTATGAGCTTCTAATAGACTTAGAAACTGTACTTGATTTCTGATGAATTACTAAAGTTTGGTGTATATTTGTTGGGTAGGAATAGCAAAGTTTCATGAGGAAATCAATGAGAAATGACTCACCTTTGGGCTTTAATTAATTATTTACTTAATTTCAATTTAAAAGATTACACACTTCTAAAATGTGCAAAACCATAATGAACTAAATTAGAGGCAAATACAATTTCACTGTTTGTTAGTGTGAGTTCAGGATTTAATCAGAATTTGTGTGTGCAGTGGGTATTAGGATAGTTTATCTGACTTACAAAGGACAATATTCTGGTAAGTTGTACCTCTAATAACTGATATGGGTATAAATAATAAAGGTTTGCTCAAAATATGTTACTTTAGTTCAGTCTTGGATCGTTTTGCAACACCTGATGACCTTTAGTGAGTAAAGATGCAAATGGATGAGTAAAAATACTCAAATAATGTGTAAAACTGACAAATGTCAGTTTCTCAATCTGTTTTTTAGCTCACATAGACAAAGCTGCCTTGGTAAAGATTGTATGGTTACAGTCAGTCTTAGATGTCAGAATTCCAGCTCTGTTAGCTGAAGGTGTATACATTTTGCTTACATAAATAATTGAGAGAAACTGATTTTATGGAAGTGCATTGTATGCATAGAATATTTTGTCCTTTGCATGTCTTTCATCCCTGTATTTGAAAAAAATAGTTCTACTCTTTAAAATAAGCAAAAATATTTTGCATTATGCACAGAAACTATTATGTGTATTTATAGTATGAGAGCTTCATGACTTTGCTGTATCTAATAATATCTATAAGAAAGATGGTCAGTATCATGGTATCACTTTTCAAATGCCTCTCTGAATAACAGAGAGATATGCTTTTCCTCATTAGAATTACTGCGGAAGGTGTGCAAAACTGGAATTCAATCTGAACAGTGCTAAGAAAATAGTTATCAGAGCTTTCCTTCATCCTTGTGGAATTAAGTTCTGTGAAAATGATTTCTTGAGTTCGGTGTCACAGTGTCACAGTGTCATGTCATCTATTAAGGAAGCATTAAATTAAGTCGATCAACTTAATAAGGCTGTGTGTTCATTCTAAAATACATTTAAGTCAGCATATTTGATATTTATGATGCCAAATGTGAAATTGGGTACTTTCTTCAACAGATGCAAAATATATTAATTCTGCATATGAACTCTAGGTGGCTATGTTTTTATTTCTCCAAACTTGCATGGCTGTTTTCTGTTTTACTTGCTTCTAGTAGGTTCATATTTTAGATAGTGTTTTGACGAAGTAAAAACCATCTTCATTGTTATAACAGGGTCATCTGCATGTGGGACAACATGGTACCTGATTGGCATTTATACAGGTTCAGAAAATATAAGATGATTTGGCAGTGATTACTGGTTATTAGGATGTGCTGAACTTTGAAGTTGGAACTGCTTTATGACTATGAAGAGGAAAGGAACCTGGGGGTTGTTGATTGATGCTCGGCTGAACATGAGCTGACAGTGTGCCCAGGTGGCCAAGAGGGCCAGTGGCATCCTGGCCTGCATTAGAAATAGTGTGGCCAGCAGCAGCAGGGAGGTAATCATCCCTCTGTGTGACCTGTGAGGTCACACCTTGAGTACTGTGTTCAGTTTTGGGCCCATCACTACAAGAAAGACATTGAGGCCCTGAAATGTATCCGGGGAAGGAAAACGAAACTGAAATCTTATGAGGAGTAGCTGAGGGAGCTGGGATTGTTTAACCTGGAGAAGAGGAGGCTCAGAGGAGACCTCACTGCAGTCTGCAACTTCCTGAAGGGAGGTTGTGACGAAGAGGGGGTTGGCCTCTTCTCCCAGGCAAAAAGCAGGACCCAAGGAAATGGCCACAAGTTGTACCAGAGGAGGTTTAGGTTGGACATAAGGAAACACTTTTTCTCTCAGAGAGTGGTCAGGCACTGGAATGGCCTGCCCAGGGAGGTGGTGGAGTCATCATCCCTGGCAGTGTTCAAGAGGTGTCTGGATGAGGAGCTATGAGATATGGTTTAGTTTGTGGTAGCAATAGTAATGGGAGGGTGGTTGGACTAGATGATCTTGTATGTCCTTTCCAATCTTGTGATTCTATGATTCTATGACTCTATTATTTTTCTGAAGTCATCTTCCTGGGTGTATTAGAGCCTGACATAGTGATGCTGCTGGAGAGTTTAAGTAGCTTTTTAAACAGCAAATGTAAAGTGTACAATAATCTATAATGCAGAGAAGCAGTTCACTGGCAACAGGGAAGGAAACCTGGATTTTTCTATTTTATGGTTAATATTCAAAGAACTT